GGGAGAAAACATCAATGTGTGAGAGATACATCAAATAGTTGGCTCTCACATGCCCCCAGCTGGGGACCTGTCCCACAACCTATGCACGTGCCGATTAGGAATTGAACCAGTGACATTTGACTTTGCAGGCTAGAACTCAATCCACTGTGCATCACCAGCCAAGTCAGGTGCGCAATTTAAAAATGTATCATACCTACATTATCTTGTGTTACCACCACACCAAGTCAATTTTCCTTTTGTCAACATTTATTCCTGCTATACCCTCTTCCACCTCACCCCAACCCCATTCTTGTCTGGTAATCCTCATGCTGTTGTCTGTGTCTGAGTTGATTTTGATTTATATTTCCCACCCAGTCCTGGAAACCTCCCTTACCCCTGACTATTGTCAGCCTGTTCTCTGAGTCCATTAATATTTTATTAGTCAATTTTGTTTATTTGATTCTACATATTAGAGAACTCATGTTACTTGTCTTTCTCTGACTGGCATATTTCATTTGGCATAATGTTCTCCAGTTCTATCCATGCTGTCATAAAAGATTTCCTTATTGATGGAGTAGTATTCCACCGTGTAAATGTAGCACAGCTTTTTTATCTACTCATCCACTGATGGGCACTTGGGCCACTTCCAAATCTTGGATATTGTAAATAACACTCCAATGAACATAGGGTCCATCTATTCTTTGGAATTGCCATTTCATGTTTTTTTGGATATATCCCCAGTAGTATAACTTCTGGGTCATAGAAAGTTCCATTTTTAATTTTTGGAGGAAACTCCATACTGCTTTCCACAGTGGCTACACCAGTCCGCCATTACTAACAACAGAGTACAAAGGTTCCCTGTTCTCCATATCCTTGGCAACACTTGTTTATTGAAGATAGCCATTGTGACAAGTGAGTTAGTAATTCATTGTGGTTTCAATTTGCATTTCACTGATGATTAGTGACATTGAGTATCTTTCCACATGTCCATTAGCTAGCCATCTGTATGTCCCCTTTGGAGAAGTTTCTCTTCAGCTTCTTTGCCCATTTTTAACTAGGATTGTTTGGGTTTTTTGTGTGAGTTTTGAAAGTTCTTTATAAATTATGGATATTAATCCCTTACCAGATGCATCATTGGCAAATGTTTTCCCATTCAGTGGGTTGTCTTTTCATTTTGTTGTAGGTTAACTTTACCATGCAGAAACTTTAGTTTCACGTAGTCCCATGTTTTCTTCTCGTTACACACTTGTCTTCTAGTTGTTGATGGATTCTTTTATTTTTCAAATCAAAATATTTGAGATGGAGAGAGAGCAAGAGAACAAGATAGAGTTCGATGTGTTATTCCACTTATTTATGCATTCATTGCTTATTCATTATGTGTCCTCACCAGGGACCTAACAAGCAGCTTTGGTGTATTGGGATGACACTTGAACTGAGCTACCCGGCCAGGGTCTGTTAATGGTCTTTTTCCTGGACAAAAATTAGTTTGATGTAGTCCCACTGTTTATTTTTTCTTTTTGTTCCCCTTGCCCAAATAAAGAGATCTAAATAACAAACAAATATAAGCAGATTTTACTGGTTTCTTCTAGATTTATTTTTCATGTTTTACATTTAAATGTTTAGTATATGGTGAATTTATTTTGTATACACAGTAAAAGTGATCCAGTTTCAGTTTTGCATGTCTGTCCAGTTTTCCCAACACTACTTATTGAATTAATGCATTGCATATTCTTGCCTCCTTTGTCACAGATTAACCAGGTAGACATGTATTTATTTCTGGATTCTCTATTCTGTTCCATTGTTATAATTTCCTGCTTTTCGTGCCAATACTATGGTGTTTTTTTTTTTTTAAGATTTTATGTATTTTTTTAGAGAGATGGAGAAGGGAAGGAGAGAGGGAGTAAAAAACATCAATGTGTGGTTGCCTCTAGTACACCCCATATTGGGGTTATGGCCTGCAACTCAGGCATGTACTCTGACTGGGAATCAAAGCAGTAATGCTTGGGTTCACAGGCCTGCACTCAATCCACTGAACTACATCAGCCAGGGCCCATTGCTATGGTGTTTTGATTACTATACTCTTATAGTATAGTTTGGTATCAGCTATTGTGATACCTCCAATTTTTTTCTTTCTTAAGATTGCTCTGGCTAGCCCTGACTGCTATGGTTCAGTGGGTTGGGAGTCCAACTGCAAACAAAATGATCCCCAGTTTGATTCCCAGTGAGGACACATGCCTGGGTTGCCAGCCAGGTTCTCTCCTGGGGGTGCACAAGAGGCAACCACACATTGATGTTTCTCTCCCTCTTTCTTCCTCCCTTCCCCTTTCTCTAAAAATGAATAAAATCATTAAAAAATTTTAATAAAAGATTGCTTTGGTTATTTGTAGTCTTTTGTGGTCCTTTATAATTTTTAAAATTACTTCTCAGTGAAACATTAGGATTACTATGTCAAAAATGGCACTGGTATTTTCAAAGGGATTTCATTGGATCTAGAGATTGCTTTGGACAGTATGGACATTTTAACAATGTTTATTCCTGCTATCCATGAGCGGTATATCCTTCAATTTTTTTGTATCTTCAATTTATTTCTTCAATTTCTTGTAGTTTTTCTGAGTAAAGGGCTTTTTTGGATAATTTATTCCTAGATATTTTATTCTTTCTGATGCAATTTTAAATGAGCTTGTTTTCTTAATTTCTCTTTTTTATTAGTTCACTATTGGTATATTAAAATACAGCTAATGTCTCATTTTTAAAGGTTTTATATATTTCTAGAGAGGGGAGAAAGCAGGGAGAAAGAAAAGAAAAAGATCAATCTGTTCCCTCTCATACATGCCACAATTGGAGACTGAATCTACAATCCATGCATGCACCCTGACCAGGAATTAAACTGGAGAACTTTCACTTCACAGGACGATGCCCAACTGAGACACCAGTCAGGGTATAAGTGTTTTCTGAATGTTTATTTTGTATCCTGCTACTTTAATTTATTAGTCAATCTAATTGTTTTTCATTTCATCTGCAAATAATGACTTTTACTTCCATTCCAATTTGGATGCCTTTCCTTCCTTCCTTCCTTCCTTCCTTCCTTCCTTCCTTCCTTCCTTCCTTCCTTCCTTCCTTCCTTCCTTCCTTCCTCCCTCCCTCCCTCCCTTCCTCCCTCCCTCCCTCCCTTCCTTTTTTTGTCTGAATGCTGTGGCTAGGACTTCCAATAGTATGTTGAATAAAAGCAGTGAAAGTGGACATCCTTGCCTTGTTTCTGATCCTAATGAAAAAGCCTTCATCTCGAGCAACCCTTCTCCATCAACCCCAGTGACCATGCCTTGCTCTGTGAGGCAATGCAACTAATGCAACATTTGATTTATGGAATTGTGTTTTTCTTCTTATATGCGATCAATACATTGGCAGAAGTCTTTTGATCACAAGGGCAGTGAAAAGACTGCACAGGGAGTTTTAAACAACTGCCTGTGACAAAGGCATCCATGGAATGTTGGTCTTCCTTATCTACTAGTGGAAGTGACTGGGCTAGGGGTGTTTTGTTGCCCTGTGGTGCCAGCATTTATTTTCTACAGCATATGATTAACTTGTTAAGTCATCAAGCCACCCAGACAAATGAGACGAGACATCCAGTGTGGAGTAGATAGGCACTGCAGCATAACATTACTTTGAATGCTTTCCCAGGAAAATTATGTGTCTCTGTCCTAGAACATCTGTGACACACATGAGTTCTGTGTGTCTTCTTATTACCTATTCATTGTGGCCTATGTGGAAGTTGGTGCCACTGTCATCTCCCTGGTCCACTTTTTCAGGATAATGTCTTGTTATAACAGCTTTCTTAAAGGATGCAGGCAAAATGCAGGCTTATCAGGACATCAACACTAGGGAAAAACAGGTGTCATTAGATAGCCAGTCATGGTCAAAAGAATAACTCAGTTGTTTTTGGTTTTGTTTTATTTTTCTTTTTTATCCTGACGGAGAGGATGCTCACTACTCCTTAGAGAAAGGGGAAACGAGGGGAGAGAGAGAGAGAAAGAAACACTGATGTGAGATTGAAACATCGGCCACCTCTCACGCATGCCCCAACAGGACAGAACCTACACCCCAGGTATGTGCCCCGACTGGGATTCATGCCCACGACCTTTGGATTATGGGACACCCTCCAACCAATAGAGCCACACCAGCCAGGACAAAGAACTCAGTTGTTAAATATGAATGTTTACCAGAGAGCTTCAACCAACAAATTTCAGCTCTTACAATTCATCAGACACTTGCCCTGTAGCACTGATGTGTATCCCACGAAACTACTACTGTAGAAATACAAACACTTCACTGTCTCGGGCTGCTGGGATGTATTATTTCTAGGGAAAGGTTTCTAGGGAAACCTTCTGGTAGTTAAAGATGAGACACAGAGCTATAGGTTACAGCATAGAAAAATAGTAAATAATATCATGATAACTATGTATGGGGCCAGGCGGGTACTTAAAGCATTACGGGGAACCACTCTGTAAAGTACATGAGTTTGCAACCACTTTGCTGTACATCCCAAACTAACGCAAAGCACTGGACTAGATTATAACGGAAAACTACACCACGCCCCTCCCCCACCTAGCAGTGCATTTCCCCTTAAGGCGCTTCCTTCTCTCTCCAGGCTGCTCATTCCCCCACAGGGCAGCTCCTTCCCCGTCCCGCGATGTAAACTGGGACCACGTTCCCCTTCGGTGCCGCCATTTTGGACTCTCAATCTCACGAGTGGCAGCCGCCGCCGGTGGACTTACCTCACCGTTCCTCCAGCCCAGCCGTTTCCCGGCCACTTCTGCCAACCGGGTCCTCCCCGCCTGTCCGGAGGTGACTCCGCGCGACTGTCGGTCAGGTCAGCCACTTTATTTAGCCTTCTTGCCCTTCTCTCAGCGGCCAGCCGTGCTCGGTGTGCGCTACTAGCCCCCGCGCGGTCCCTCAGCCGTTGCTGCCGTTGCTGCCGTTGCTGCCGTTGCCACTGCCACCGCGGCCAGTCACACGGTACAGCCATGAGCCCATCCCACGCCAAGGGAGGGGCAAAACGCCGTAAGAACAAGCGGGGCGGTGGAGGTGGGGACCGCGGCCGAAAGAGTAGCGGGAGAGACCGCCCGGAGGCGGAGCCATGCGGCTCCCAGGACACCACCATTACGGTGACCGTTGCTGCTGACGCGGCTGCGGCAGCAGCAAGCGGGCCCTTCGTTGAGGATGTATATGCGGGCGGCGCAGCCCGTTTCAGCTTGGGCGAGACTCAAGGAACTCTGTCTTACCCCGTAGGCGTTTTCTGTGCCCTTTGTAGAATCGAGCGGAAAGACAGTGCAGTCGTACAGAGTGAATTGGCTGCCGAGGGCGACAGCGTGTCGCACCAAACTGAGTGGATGTGCCCAACCTGCCAGTGGGCTTTGCAGAACTATGGCATTTCCAGTGACCTTGACCAGGCAGCACAGGGCGTAGACTTCCCCAGCCATGGTCATCTCGGCGGGTTCCTGGCAGAGGCAGAGGGCGGGATGCTGGCCGAGGGGGGCCAGCTACCTCTCTTGGACACGGCGAGTGCCCACCAGGCTAGCTGTGAGCGCCAGGTCTCGCCAGAGACGTATCTAGAGTCACGGCAGCAACGACTCTACTGGTCAGAAGTGCGCTTCGTGGTCCGCTTCACATATCACCAGGCAGGGACCGCGCTGGTGCCCAACTTGAGCAGGGTAAAAGAGCGTGTGGATAAGCTCTGCAATTTAGACCCCTCACAGCTGTACCAGCGGTTGGATCATGTAGCACGAGATTTTGTGCTGGACATGAAGATCCGCCTCCTTCAGCCACTGTGGGCCCAGCCAGGACCACCAAACTGCCTGGAGAGCCCCCTGCAGGCCCAGCAGTTCATCTCTCGCCTTATCAAAGAGTATGGTGCCCTCTGCCAAGCCGCGCGCACCATCAGCACCTTCCTCATCACTCTAGAAATTAAGCATTTGAGTCTTTTCCAGGTGACTTGGGAACTGCATAATAAACACCTGTTTGAAAATCTGATTTTTTCGGATCATACTCTTCAGAGCAACTTGCCAGCACTGATATCACAAATCAGGCTGGGAGCCACAACAAATGACACCTGCAGCCAGGGCACATATAGCACCTTGCTGCTCCACTACCAGGGCTTGGAGGAAGAGCTGCACAGAGTAGCCAGAAAGTGGGTGCAGTGCCAGAGGAGGGTCAGCACCTTCATCCTTGAGAAGATGACACTGAAAAGTAAGATAAAAAGAACCTTGAGGCGTTTTAAACAAACGCAGTTACTTGGTGAGCACATAGGCAGTACAGGAGCAGACCTATATAGTGGGAACTTGGCAGAAGCCTTGAGGCACATGCCACCATCAGCATCCCCGGACATGCCTGACTGCCTCGGCCCGGAAAGGTGTACCATCTACAACTGCAACCACTCACAGTTTCTCACACGTGGCCTTGAGGAGCCTCACAGACCCAGCACCATGCATGGCCATCAGCTGCCACGCCAAGTGCGTTCCCTTCCTGACTGTCTCTTTGAGAGTCGCCTCACTGGTGTGTCATTGGCAAGCTCAGGGTCAGATTCCAGCTCTCCAATTATAACCCAGCAGCAATCCAGACCTATCCGCCTAGATGAGGGCTCTACACCAAGTTTTTGCAGTGACAGTGATGTGGCTTCACTGTCAGATAGATTCGCTGATATTTATCTGGTGAATACTGATGATATTGAAGTGGTGCCCTGCAATGATGACAATACCGAGATTGTGACCAATGTGAGGTCTGATGCCCGGGGGAACCCCGAGGGCCACCTCTATGATAGCCCACTTCTGACCATTCCGGCCGCTTTCAGTCCTGACTCCGAAGAGCAGCTCTCCAACCAAGGTGCCTATGGCTGGCGGCAGGACCCCAGGGAAAAGGCCACAAACAATGGCAGCAGCTCCGAGCACAGCTCCCGCAGCAGCTCCTGCTCCTGTACCTGCAACCTCCAGGAGGAGGGCAAATACTGCGAATACTGTGGCAGATCCTCCAGGCACCACCCGCCTCCAGCCACAGCAACAGGAAGAAGTTATGAAGAAATGAGAGAAAAGCTTCGTTTGCGGCTGGCCAAGAGAAAAGAAGAGCAACCTAAGAAAACAGGTCAGCTCCCAGAAAAGCAGGATGTGGTTGATCATCGCACAGTGGAGGACTTGCTGCAGTTCATAAATGGCCCAGAGGTCAAGCCTGTGAGCAGCACCCGCAGAGCCAAGCGGGAGAGACATAAACAGAGAAAGCTAGAGGAGAAGGCGCACATGCATGGTGGCTCCCTAGAGCAAACCGAAGAACTGGAAACTTCATCTCACTCCCCTTCCAGATGTGAAGACCACGCAGTGTCTGGGGCTCAGGGAGACTCCAAGCACCTCCTGCCAAAGCAACACAAAGATGGGACTGGCAAAAAGAAGCTCAAACAGACAGGGAAGGCTGGCGGCGATCCAAGGAGGAGGTCTGCGGAGTCCCCTAGAGCCTCAGAGGGCCAGTCTAAATCCCGGTCCCAGACTCAACCAAGTACTAAAGTGCTTCACCGTGTTTTGCTGGCAGAGCAGAGGAAAATGGAGAGAAAAGCTAGGAATGAAAACAAGGGCAAGAAACAGCTCAGCCAAGTCAAGGAGGGGAAGGCAACCCCAGGCCCTGGGGAGCCTACCAGCCCCAGCCAGCTAGAGCTGGCAGACACTTCTCAGCCCAGCGGCAAAAGCAAAGAAAGCAGGAAAGGAGATGGAGACAACAACCCGCTCTATGATGTCTTTATGCCCAAGGATATCGACCTAGAGAGTGCAGATATGGATGAAACGGAAAGGGAAGTAGAGCATTTCAAAAGATTCTGCTTGGATTCCACCAGACAGACCCGACAAAGACTGTCTGTCGACTGGTCTGATTTCAGCTTGAAAAAGCCACCTTTCCTGCCTCCTAAATGAAGACCACCTAGAAAGGGACACTCGAGACACTGGCCTGCCCCTGGAGCTGCCCAGCTTACTCAGACCATTCTGGGTGAGCTGCCACACCTGGGACACCCAGACCGAGAACTTGCTGCCCAGCCCTCATTGTTAATCTGTACTTTGCAAGATTTTGACTGTAGTTCATGACTGATTGGAACAGTAGCTCCAGCCATTTATTCTACCACTGTGACCTTGGAGACCTGGGGCATGGCCAATGATGCAAGCAAGTTTGCATCATTCACAGGGCATCTTGTGAATTCACCTCTGCATCTTGCCCTGTTCTGTCACCTGTCCCTGCCCAGCGATGCCATCACTCAGCTTCCATCCCACCTGATGTGAGCGGGTGAGATAGGCGGCTTCCATTCTCTACGATATACTGTTTTGATAGAGTGCACATGTTTGTGTCTGACAGTTGCACTATTTGTGTCTGACCCCAGACTTAGAGAGCCAGGTTGTGTACAAACCATTGCAGAATGATAAAGTTCAAAACAAAACCCACCCAGTCCTCAGACCAAGTCTTTGGAGTGTAGCAGTGTATTAACATCACTGTTACTTGCTACATAGTGTATCCAGGGTTTAAACTTTGGTTCCAGATTGTTAGAGATAGGATAGGACTAGGTTCTGCAGTTACAGTCTGAATATTGAGTTTTCATACCAACTGCCTAAAACCTAATTGCAAAGAGACCACCAACCTACTTTTATAGAGTTGAATACTTAAGCAATTTAAATTAGGGTTGGTGTTCATTTCACTTTTTCTAATCTAAATCTTAGTTTTATGGAATAATAAAGTTTGATGTTCAACAAACAAAACTTAGACTTTAAGCCATTTTCAAAAGAAACTTGCTTCTCAATCTGTATTTCAGAACATTGACTAGATATGGGCTATTGGTGATGGTGAACTTTGTGTTGTTCTTTATGATATGATACATATAACTGTTGGAGGTTTCAGTGCTTTTTAAAGAAAGCTGCATAATATATAGTTCACTATGTATAGTCATGCAAAAAAATTACCTTGTAATTTGGCTGCTCTGTGTTGAACAGTTCTTCTCTATATGGAACAGTTATTCCTAAATAGCTTGGTCTTTTGTTTTTCTGTTGTGTGAAGGACTTAATGGTTTTTTTCCCCCAGCAGTGGAGGTGCTGTTAGAGTCCACTGTTCTAGAACAGGCAGTGCCCAATGGCTAATTTTACTTTTCTAGTTCTCTTAGCTATTACCAGGAATTTTTGAAAGTTGTCTTTAAAATAGTTGCTATAAATACATTTTTCTAACCTAGGAGAATCAATATTCTCTATTACTGCCATGGGCTTCCTGTAGTTCTATTCAAGTGTTACAATATTTGTAGATAATAGTAAAGAAAGGAACTGCTAAAGCTTCCACATTAAAAGTCATTTTGTATTTCAGGGAGAACTGTTCTTCCCTTCTCAGTAAGCATTCTACAAAGCTTACATAGGATTACCCAGCTGATTTTTTTCAGTGAACTCAAGGTATATTTGGGTAATAGAGAAGTTTTAGACTGGCTCTGGACTCTGTTTTTTGGTCTAAGTGATATCACATCACTGGGCTGGCAAGAATATCCTTAATTAAGACCTATGGATAAGAGTCCTTTTTTTTGACTTTGTTCAACCAGTCAAATTTTGTGTATGTTTATACAATAATGCATAAAATGTTACTTACATGTTTTCTTTAAAAAGAATGAACATATTGCTTAAAGTAAGTCATATGGCTTATAAAATTTGGAGACAGAGATTTTAAATTTCAAATATAAAATTATCTGTTAAGGTGCTATGTAGTCTTGTTTGTTTTCCTATGGAGTAATGTTAAGTGAAAATTTTAGTCCTAAGTGATTTTGTTTTCCTATGGAGTAATGTTAAGTAAAAATTTTAGTCTTAAGTGAATTTGTTCTTCTGTAATGTTAAGTAAAAATTTTAGTCTTAAGTGAATCTGTTTTCCTATAGAGTAATGTTAAGTAAAAATTTTAGTCTTAAGTGAATTTGTTTTCCTAAGGAGTAATATTAAGTAAAAATTTTAGTCTTAAGTGAGTTTGCAAAAGCAAGTAAAAAAGTCTCCCATAAATACATGTTCATCAAGTATTCTTAACTTGAGATTTCTACCAAAAAAAAAAAAAAAGAGTGCCTCAGCTATGTTTTACCTATATCCTTTTAGATCCACTGTTTAGGACTATTTTGTGTTTTTAGTGGAAATTTTGTTTATGTTGTTTTCATTTCTACAAAATAAATTTATATTCAAATAAAACATATTTGGGATGATGTGATAAAATATGAGATACTAGGCAAAGTTTAACAAGTGCCTTGTTCATGTTCTGAACATTCAAAAAGAAATAACGCTGGGTCTAGTAAAACTAATAGAAAATATAGGAGGTTAGTTTTAAAACTAGTGAAAAATGAATTTTGTACCACTTTGGAATAAATTACTTTATAAGACTTTACAATACACATAATACCAATTAAATCTTAAGTTACCTTTTTAAATCCTCATCCAAGGGTATGTTTTATTACTGATGTTAGAGAGATGAAGGGAGAGGGAGAGAAACAATGTGAGAGAGAAACATTGATCAGTTGCCTCCTATACTCACCCCAACTGGGGATCGAATCAGAAACCTTTTTGGTTCACAGGTTTGTTACCCAGGGCCTGGCTTTGAGTGGGCCTGCCTAGGACCAGCTGGTAGTGTATAGGTTCTTGACTTCATGTAGGAAAGATTGGATTCCCAACTGGAGTCCAGGGTCACTATGAGGGTACATTTATTAAAGCTGGGGACAGTGAAACAGGGAAGGGCTTAGTTAGCATAGAGGAAGCAACAGGAGAGCCCAGGCTGGGCTGCATTAGCCCACTGGGAAGTCAGAGAAGAGGTGGCTTTGGGAACAGGTTCAGGGAGTCAGCCTGGGACAAGCTACCAACTACCCATTGCCTTAGAGTTTAGGAGTGGTGTGCCTGTGAAGAAGTTGGGAGGGGGGGAGATGGGAAAGGAAATGGTACTGGCCCCTCTTCAGAGGGACAACACATACCCTAGGTCCTTGTCTTGAGGCCTAGCTCCCTCTCTGTGAGTGGGGATAGGGGAGGTCCCAGGGGAGGGTTTCAGCAGAATATTCATCAGTTTTCCAAGTGTGCCCTTTCAGGGCCATGGTCTCCACTGATTGGTCAGTGACAGGGTAGGGCTCATTTAGTCATTGCAATTGGTTCTGTTGTCTCCCACCTGGTTTGGCTGCTTTTCTGGGCCTGGAGCTGAAACAACTGAGGCCTAGAAGTTATCTCCAGGAAGAAAAAGACAGGGGACAAGAGGTTACCCTGGGCATGTGGTCCTTGTTTTCCCAGTTTTGCCCCCTGCCAAGCACTGCCCTGGTAACCATCTGTACCTGGCTATAAATTGCTTAGTCATAGTGTCCAGCTATCTGTCTCAGTTTCCCTATTTTTAGCTTCTCGCTGTCCTCTCAGGTTGATGCTCCATCCAACTGAACCACCTGGCCAAGGCTTAGGTCACTTTTTCTTAAGGGTTCTCTAATTATTTAGATGCAAATTGGTATTATTTAAAATTGAGTTTTTGTTTTTCATTAATGTGACCAAGATCGTAAAAATAAAAAGGAATGAATGACCTCTTAAAGAGAAGGTTGATTATTTTTCTTGAACAGGTTACACAGCTTTCAATCATGGTTATGCATTACTTCGATTCAAGGTATGGGGTCAAATTCAGTTGAGCTTAGATAATAATCTCACAAGTTTACTTTGCTCGATCAGTATTGACTGAGTGCTTATTATGTTCAAGGCATGGGTCTAGGGCTAGAACATAAAAGTGAACAATTAAACACTGCCCCTGCCCCCAAGGTGTTCAGTAGTGCAGGTAAGAATTAAATTTTCCAAAACCTGTAACATAAGATGGGGAATAAGTGCCATAAAAAGCACAGAAAAAAGAGTTGCAAATAGACCTAAACCAAATTGTTTTGTCCATAATTGGTATGTTCTTTTGCCAAGTAAGGGTCATAGGTTTCCTCCTCCACAACCTCACTATAGTATAGCATGTATGTTTAGTATATGTAACATATACATACACACTGTAACATGCATGCATGCATGCATGTTACAGTGCAGGTAAAATCTAGTTTACATTTTACCACATTAGGTTGGCAAAAACATTTGTTGCCTTTTTTTCATAGGATAAAAGGCATTTTTTCATTTTCACCAGTAACTATTGATTTGGATATTTAGAGTATGCCAGCTATCTCCTGCTATTGGCTTCTAGTGGGTAGAGGCCAGGGGTGCCGCTAAACATCTTCCAATGCATAAGGCAGCCCCACAGCAAAGAATTACTTGGCCAAAATGTCAATAGTACCAAGAAACTTTGCAAACCACTTTTGACATGTTCAATCAATCACAGCGCCTTCTTCATACACCACACAATTTTTTTGTGTGTGTTTCAGTTACATTTTTACCTTTCTTGAAATAATAAAGCATAACATGCTGAAAATGTTGCAAATTTTCATCCATCTTCAGTATTAAAACAGCTGCACAAAAATTAAATTTTGGTAAGTTTTTTTTTAAGGCACACCGGTATGACAGCTGTCACAATGCAATCTAACAAAACAACTGCTTTGAGTGAAGTTAAAGACAACTAAGCACTACTAAAGCCATTGTATAGAAAAAAATCTAACAGACTTTATGGCCAACCCAATACATTTTTTAGCAGCCAATTCTCCAGCCATTCAAACTATCTTTATGCCGGATGAAGCCTTTATTATCTGTCCCTTTGTATATTCCACAAGCATCTCACATGAGGGTCATTCAAATTACATGTGGCAATAATCTAGTTTTAAACCAGATGTGGCAAAATGCAGTGTAGAATTCAACTAATACTTTTAGTGCTGTCAGGCAGCAGAATCCCATGAAAATAGGTTGGAATTCTCAACAGAGGGAGTCACTGCAAAGAACAAACTACTGGGCCTCGTTTTTTCTTTTACCCTATTGATGC